CAATTAAATTGTAATGATAACTCTAAATTTTTAATTATTATATTTCCTGCTTTTTCGTTCAATAGTCCGGTACTGCGCCCTCATACGACGGCGAGTGTGGCAGGGAGGGATTTTGTGAAGTGTCGAGATACAAAGATAATTGTTTGTTTACTTGCCCATAACTTATGATAATAAATAATTAGCTTTTTTATACTTTTTCAATATTTTTGAAAATTTTTTATCAGGTATATTCCCACTTCTGTAGATCCGAAGATTTGCAGGTTTTATGTAACAAATTTCCGGAATAAATTTAGAATGCGATATCTAATTGTACATGTAATAACTTCAATATCAACCAATCACATATCCAGAATCTTAACTCTAACCCTAATTCAGGTCCTATCGCTAATTCTATTCCCAAAGTTATTGGACAAATTCCGTTTTTTTTAAATAAATATTTGGAACATGAAATCTCACGACCTAGTGAACCAATTCCGCTAAAAGTATCACCATTAGATGTGTAATGACTAGACGAATTGAATGGCAGATAGCATACCAGTAAGTTTAGAAAACCAACGACTGATAAATGAAAACAAACAACTGAAAAATTATAGAGAAACTTAAATCATTTCCTCATAAATTAATAAGTGATTTTGCACATTATAGATGTGTGTTTTGATTGCTGTGTTGACAGTTCGGCTGGGATTTAATGTCCAAATACAAATACAGTAGTAATGTATAATAAAACAATGCATCACAAAAATCCACCTAAGTGACTCTATAATTTAGACCAGTTCGAAGTGCTGTTTTGTTTTATAAGCATAGAAATGATAAAGTTTATCATTTTGATTGTTATCAAATTATTGACTTAAAATCATTTTAATCATAATATAAAATACACATATAAGAATTTCGAAAAAATTGTTTAAAACAATTAAAAAAACTTATAATTTCGGAAATCGAATTAGGGGACAGACATATATGACTTACGTAATTATAAGTTACTACATATATGTATAAAACTAATCTGGTGATATTTTCACGTGACAATATTAATGTAATATGCCATCAGCGCCTCGGCATCATAATACGATGTTATGCTAAGTAATAATTCATATTACGTATAAAATCACTGATACATGAGCTTTTGAGCATCCCCTCCCCACCTCCTATAATAATGTAATATTATTCTATTCTCTCAAATCTTGTTTAATTATCCACTTTATCACACATTGAGATGAGTCGTTACCGTCATCTGAATCACCACTAGGTCCCTTGATAGCACTACGTATTTGGTAATTGAGTACATGTATCGCATTTTGATTGATTAGATATGCTCAGTGAGTGCGAAAGATTAAGAGTTTAATACGATATTGAAAGATCACTCTATTAATCATTTTTTTAGCTTTTCTAACTCAATAGAGTAGAATCTGACGATCTCGGTGAATCACTTGCAGCTTCTGTCTTGCAACATGCTTCTCTTAGAATAAAAATAGAAGAAAATTTATTATTTGTTGATTGGTACGTATTTGGCTGCATTTTAATTTTGAATTGATGTAATGCAAGCTCTGCCGTTTGAAAATCATTTCAGCCTAAAGCTGGTTATTAAATAGCTTTTGAATTGAACCAATTATTCATTATTCGATTTTTATTCTTTTTATTTCTGCATTTTTGATTCTTTATTTTTAATATGCTAATCTTTAACGCTAATACATAAGTACATTTAAAAAGCACCTCACGTACACTTATTATGTATGTTTTTTGAATTGTAAACAAAAAAAATATAACGGTCACAGGATATGTCTCATTCAGTACACATGTACATGTATTAATTAATGGGTCAGCAAAATGCATAAAGCATTGTTATGTTTCTTAGTAAAATAACGGAAAACACAAGTTTTGTTTTTATCATAACATCATAAATATTACAAATTCACCTATTTCATGAAATTAATTGA